CCCTCCCAGGTTCAAGCAATCCTCCTGCCTCAGCCACCCAAGTAGCTGGGACCATAGGCATGCACCACCACACCTGGCTAATTTCTGTATGTTTTAGAGACAGAGCTTCACCATGTTGACCAGGCTGGTCTCGAACTCCCAACCTCAGGTGATCCTCCTGCCCCAGGCTCCCAAAGTGCTGGGATTACAGGTGTGAGCCACTTGAGTACCCTGAGTTCGGAAGTGATGGCCCCCTGGTCCCACTTTTTCTCTTAATCTTTTTCTCATTCCTTTGTCACCACCGAACTCGGGGTACCCACGGGTCATGTAGGGCTGGCTCCCTACATTCTGGTGCCCAATGTGGGACTCATGGATCCCTACATTCTGGCGCACCAACCTGTGGGGCTCATGGCTTCCCTACACTGCTGATTACCTGACTTCAGTCAGTGAGACTGACTTTAAACTTCTGACCAGCAGAACTGCAAACAAACGAATCTGGATTCGATTATTTATTTATTTTTAGAGATAGGGTCTCTCTATGTTGGCCAGGCTAGAGTGCAGTGGCTGTTCACAGGGGTGATCACAGGGCATGCACTACAGCCTCAAACTCCTGGCCTCCAGCGATCCTCCCACCTCGGCCTCTTGAGCAGCTGGCACTACAGGTGTGCGCCCCCACACTCAGCTAAATCTGGGTTGTGTGGAGCCACTAGGTTAGTGGTAACGTGTTACAGTGCTAAGAGGAACCTAGTACAGCAAATAAAAGGCGTTGTTAGATTTTTTGAATGCCCAGCCCTAAGCAGGCACTCACCCTGTTCCCAAAAAGAGCCAGGTCCAGCTGCGTTTTCTTGTGGCCCCAATAACTAGGAGCAGACAAACTAGGAAAAAGGGAATTTATTGCTGTAACGGAACACAGGGGGAAGCTTGGGGCTAATTCCACGAGACCAACTCAGAGTGTTACCATTTTCTTAGTGCCTATATAGATTTGGGTTATGTGCCTGTGTGCGGTATTGTACTTGTCTAAGTCTATGGGTAACTAATTTTGTTTCAACTAGAAGATTAGAGAAGGGAAAAGTGCTTTCTAAGTCTAATCAAGCTGTGATTACCTTCAAAGCCTGTCTCCTAACTTCTATTTAATGAGAACTGTGGTACTGGAGTGTTTATTTTTGAGATGGAGTGTCGCTCTGTCACCCAGGCTGGAGTGCAGTGGTACACTCATCTCGCTGCAACCTCCGCCTCACAGGTTCAAGCCATTCTCCTGCCTCAGCCTCCCAAGTAGCTGGGACTCCAGGTGTGTGCCACCATGCCTGGCTATGTTGTATTTTTAGTAGAGATGGGGTTTCACCGTGTTGGCCAGGCTGGTCTCAAACTCCTGACCTCAGGTGATCCACCCACCTTGCCTCCCAAAGTGCTGGGATTACAGGCATGAGCCACTGCACCCGCCAGAGGTGTTTATTTCTGTCTCATCTCATTTACAGTTTGGTCTGGAGAGCTGCCTTAGACTCTCCAATAAATCTGTTCCAACAGCTGCCTCTGTTATCTCGACTTGCTCCAGGTTTGGGAGAAGCCTGTGTAGGATGTGTGTTTCATTTCTGGCTTTGATGTCTGGGCATCAGTTTCCCTGGGTTTAGTTCTTAGCTTAATGTTAAGGCAGCGCTGTGGAAATTTGTCTGTATAGCTAGGGTGCTATGCAGGCCTGCCTGTGTGACTGTCGGGGAGAACTGACCCACCACAGTGCCTCTCTGGAAGCAGCCATTCAGTCCCCAGGTCCCTTGGGGATTGCTAGGTTATAGCAGCCACAGCACGCGCAGTAGGCCTGCCTCCCACCACGTGACTTCACCTGTGCCTTCAGCTCAGGTTGTCATGAGGCCTACTGTGTGTCAGGAGAAGTGTTGTTAGCTGGTTGGATGAAGGTCACCCAGAGCTCGTAGGTGTGGAGGGGAAGGGCATCCTATAACTAAGCAAATGGCCAGAGACTTGGCTTTCTGAAGAAGAGCCGGTGGTCAGGCTGTTGGCTGATCTCTGAGGTTGTACGCACTTCCTGAAAATGTGTGGCTTGAATTTCCTGCTTTGAATTCTGGAACAGCATATTTTTCTAACCTTTCTTCCACCTTCTGGGCATTTCTCATTAATCTTTTTGGTCAAAAGTCTTTTCTTAATTATGTTTTCTTTCTAAGACAAAAGGCTCCCTGTGAAGTATCTGCTTGGGGAAGGGAGGAGTTGAAGTTGTTACTTCCAGGTCACCCCAAAGGGAGGGATTCTGATATTGATGGTGTTTCCAGGAAAGTATATCCTTTTCTTTCTCTGTTTATTATGTTTTTGCTTTGTTTTGAGACAGAATCTCACTCTCTTGCCCAGGCTGGAGTGCAGTGGCTTGATCTCAGCTCACTGCAAACTCTGCCTCCTGGGTTCAAGCAATTCTCCTGCCTCAGCCCCCTGAGTAGCTGGGACTACAGGCAGTCACCACTGCACCCAGCTAAGTTTTGTATTTTTAGTAGAGACAGCACTTTGCCATGTTGGCCAGGCTGGTCTTGAACTCCTGACCTCAAGTGATCTGCCTGCTTTGGCCTCCCAAAGTGCTGGGATTACAGGTGTGAGCCACTGCGCTAGGCCATATTGTCCCCTAATTTTAATGTGCATGAGAAGCAACTTGTTGAAAATGCAGATTTCCTGGTCTGGGTTGGGGCCTGGGGACCTGCGTTTTAACCAGCACCTCAGTGATTGTGATGCTGGGGGTCCGTGAGAAACACAACAGCTCTGATGGTGCCCAGAAGTCGCCACTCCTTGCCCTCTCCCCACACCTTGGGCTTTGTGTACCCGATATAAGGTGTTTGTGCATGTGTGTGTACACGTATTTGTGGACATTTACCAGACACTCCCTTGGCATTAAATTGAAGCTAATGCGTGTCACATGATCACCACTTTAGTCTTCCCCGCAGCCCTGTGGGTGTACCATTATTGATCCCTTATTCCCGAAAAAGAAACTCAAGCTCAGACAGGCGAAGTGACCTGCCCCAAGCCGGATGCACTTGCTAATGGTAGAACTGGGACCCCAGTCTAGCCAGACTCCGGGGCCCAGGACCTGTTCGTAACATGTGGGACCCACAGGCAGAAAGGCTGCCCCAGGCACCTCTTTTTTCATTGCCTGTACCAGTAGGGCCATCTTTGTCGCCAAAAGTCGGGGTGTGGGGCCATGCCCGGGGGACCTGGTAATGCCATTTGTGCACTTTCACAAAAACTGAGTTGTATGAATGACGTAGGTAATGTGCATTGAAACATTTTTGTAATAATTTCCCTCTCTCTCCTCCCCCCCCCACTTCTTATTCTCTGTCCCCCTCAAGACTCTCTTTCCCAGCTGCCCGCTCCTCAGCACCCGAGGATTCGCCTGTACAACGAAGAACAGGTCCTGAGTTGGGAGCCAGTGACCCTGAGCAATGGCACGAGGCCTGTGGTCTACCGGGTGCAGTTTAAATAGTAAGCCAGTATTTCTGTTAGATCCTTGCTGGGAGCTGTTGGGGCATTGTGGGGAACCCTAGGGCCACCTACTAGTTCCCGCCTCTGTGCACGGTTTGTTATCAAACCCGTGGGAAGCACATCTTTCTTGGAACTTGTAAAACCTCTGAGGACAGAGGTTCCACAACCTCCCACTCATCTGAAGGCATAAACTAAACTGGCGGTCACAACTCTGCTGTCTAACCACATAGCTTCTTGCTTTGGTGGAAAGTTTATTCTTTTACTGGTTTCAGGAGAAGGGTTATAAAAATAGGCTTCCGCCATGGAAGGGCAGGAGGCAGCTTTTAGTCTTCATCTTCGGGCTTAAAAATCTGATTGCCTTAACCTTATAGATCAAATAGGGCCTGATCAGAAATGTTTTTGGTTAATTACAATGAATTATCAGTTTCTCAACTGGTTTTCCATTTTGTATATTATCCTGACTCCTTCATCTTTCTCTTACCTCTTCAAGCTTCTGCAGAATTGGCCATCGCTTGATTTGCAATATTAATACATATAGAGGCCGGGCGCAGTGGCTCACACCTATAATCCTAGCACTTTGGGAGGCCAAGGCAGGCAGATCACAAGGTCAGGAGTTAGAGACCAGCCTGGCCAATATGGTGAAACACCGTCTCTACTAAAAATACAAAAATTAGCCAGACGGGGTGGTGGGCACCTGTAGTCCCAGCTACTCAGGAGGCTGAGGCAGGAGAATCGCTTGAACTCAGGAGGCGGAGGTTGCAGTGAGCCAAGATCACACCACTGCACTCCAGCCTGGGCAAAAGAGCAAGACTCCGTCTCAAAAAAAGTACATACATACATACACACAGAAAGAGGTCAAAATCCACATCCTTTGTTATTTTTTGTTTACATTGTTAAGTAGGTTAATTAAAGAGTAAGGTAAAGTTATTGGCTAAGTCATTTTGTACTATTCAGTAAACCAAATGTAAACACATGATGATGCCCAGTGCTTGTGAGATGGGATTGGGGTTCACCTGTATTCACCTGATGCTGTTTGCAGAATCAATTAGCATAGTCATTTCAGAGAGTAATTCTACCAGACATTTGAAGTTATGGAAATGTCCATAGTAGCTTTCTTGTGTGTGTGTATGTCGTTGTTGTTGTTTTGAGATGGAGTCTCCTTGTATCGCCCAGGCTGGAGTGCAGTAGCACGATCTCAACTGACTATAACCTCCACCTCTTGGATTCAAGTGATTCTCATGCCTCCCGAGTAGCTGGGACTACAGGCATGAGCTACCACGGCTGGCTAATGTGTATATTTTTAGTAGAGATGGGGTTTTGCCGTATTGGCCAGGCTGGTCTCAAATTTCTGGCCTCAAATGATCTGCCCACCTGGGCCTCCCAAAGTGCTGGGATTGCAGGCGTGAGCCACCGCAACCAGCCTTCACTGTAGTTTTACCCTACACAGATAATTTAAGCCCCCAAAAAAAAAAAAAAAAAAAGTGAAACCAAAACTACAATCATGAAGAGATACACGGAAGTGTATATTCATATCCCTCAGTAGGAAGATGGCAAATTGTAGCCTGCTATTACAGTTGAACACCAAACCACAGGCAGCCACTAGAAAGCATGATTATATGTCATCTGGTAGAAGCTGCGACTCCGTGAACTTTGGCATGTATTTAGTTTTTTTATTTCTTATTTTTGTTAAAGTAAATTTCTATTCACTTTATACTAAAAGGTTGCAAGTGGTGTGTATTTATTGTCAAGAATAGAAAGGTGCCGATCACAGTGGCTCCCACATGTAAAAAACAAAAAAAGAAAAGTAATGTGGAAAAATTGCAGGCAATTGATCTGTTAGAGGAGTGGGTTTCTAGATAACTTCTTTTTTTTTTTTCTTTGAGACAAAGTTTCTGTCGGCCAGGCTGGAGTACGGTGGCCCAATCTCAGCTTACTGCAACCTCCACCTCCCATGAACCTGGGAGCGATTCTCATGCCTCAGCCTTCTGTGTAGCTAGGATTGCAAGTGTGTGCCACACTACCCGGTTCAGATAACTGCTTCTTATGCTTTTTGGTTTTTTTTTTTTTTTAGACACCGTCTCACCCTGTCCCCCAGGCTGTAGTACAATGGCATGATCGTGGCTCAGTGCAGCCTCAACTTCCTGGGCTCAAGAGATTCTGCCACTTTAGCCTCCCAAGTAACTGGGACTACAGGTGTATGCCACTGCACCCAGCTAACTTTTAATTTTTTGAAGAGATGGGATTTCACCATGTTGCCCAGGCTGGCCTTGAACTCTTGGGCTCAAGTGATCCACCCACCTCAACCTCCCAAAGTGCTGGGATTACAGGTATGAGCCATCTCACTGGCCTTTCTTATTCATTTTTAAATGTCTGTTGTAACAGTATTTTCTTAGTAGAAGCTGGTGCTAAACTGAGGTTTGAGAGTTATCTCTATATCACATTTATCTGTTCCCTTGGTAGTTACAAATTACCAACATTAAGTCACATATAATTAATGGAGCAATCCACCACAACAGGCTGCACAATTTGCTAGCCCCAATGTGAGTCCCCTTATTCAAAAAGTATTAAGACTTTCAAGATGGCAACTGCAGAGCATCAAATGAAGTGCCTTTGTAAGAACGCAGCTTGATGTGGGTGCTCAGGCCATATGCCATGAAGCTGGCTACCCTCAGCGTTCGGCAAACGTAAGACCCTCAAGCTACACCAGAAGCTTGCTGGGAGAGTCCCAGCTGATGTATTGACTTAGCCTTGACAACTAATTTATGGGCTTAGCATTTCTTGGCCTTGAACAGGGAAGTATGTTTGCAGGTTTTCGTAAGAGATGCTTCTAAAAATAGGAGAAAATGTTATTGCATTTTTAAAAAAACCTTTGATAGAGTTTCATATGATTAGACTAACCTGTTTCACTTTGTCTTTTTTTCAGAAAGCATTTCGTAAATATTTTCTCAGTGATAGAGGTTGAATTTTTTTTTTTTTTTTT